TAAACATTAATTAAGCACGTCAATATGTACGAGCTCCATGATAGCTGTGAATATGAAGAAACGATGACTTCTGCTTCCAGGACTTAATGTCTCAATTTTTAATTTCATGGAAACAGATAAACTGTGCCAACTTGTCCCTGGAAAAACTCCTTTTCCATATAACCCTGATGTTTATATTTGCTTATTGGACACTAGGTCAGACATACTTTTGGGTTTAAGTTGTGCACAACATTTGTGTGCATGTATGATTTAAGCTTTCAAAGAACCGCCAAAGCTAAGTTTTAGTTTTAAGGGTATAGAAGCATTTTTGCACTGAGGCCTCGATTTCTTAGACCTGTGGAGCTGACAGGATGTGTTCATGTTAGTGCAGGTTGTCTAAGCATGAACCTGAAATAATTTATGCATGGTTTAAAGGAATAAAGGTTCTTTCCCTCCCTCTTTCCTCCTTCCATCTTTCTCCTTTCTTCCTTCCCAAAAAAGAAGACTCCTTTCCTTAAAGGCAAAATGGATATTACTCATAAATTTGCTGTTGCTTCAATTGAAGCTTTGCATAGATTTTAAACTATTGTTATGGGTGCTATTTCCCCTATTGTGTGGGGGAATAATTAACTTAGTACTGTTCTACTAATATGATAATGGCGAGCCAGAGAAGCGGTAAATAGGACCCTCCAAATAGATGGGGAGAGTGCAGTACCACTGCTTGCCACGTGAGGGCAGAATCAGATAATATTTCAAGTTTTGCTTCTGTTTCCGGATTTCCTGTTGACTCCCAGTCCACCCCCATCAAAAAAGGGAGATGTCGCCTTAAGGTTTCCTTTAATGCAGACCTCTTTTTTTCCCCTAATTCTTTTTCTCCCCCATTAGATTCTGCTGCATTGTTGTTAATGAGCACTTACACCCTTCACCTCCTGCCAGTTTCCTGATTGCATGTGATCTTTCTTGGATGTTCATAATTAAGATGGTCATTCTTTTATAGAATTACCATATCATTCTGTCTGTTCCATACCCAGGAAACTTGAATTTTAATTATATTTTTGTTATCTGAGTTAAAGAAGAATTTCTTTTGTAGCAAGGAAATCCTGAAACTTCTCAGTTTGATTCCGTTGTAATTATGAAAACAGGTACTAGAATGCTGTTACCTAGGGCTTATATTGAATTTTGAGACCCTCTGACCTGTCCTGACCACTAACCTAAGCTCCCAGTGCGGCATGTATGTGCTGGATTTGTGTTAGAGAAAAGGCAGGCACACTCCTGCCCTCAGGGGGCTTGCAGTTTGCTGGGTAGAGAGACAGGAAACAAGGACTCCAATAAAACAATGGTCCCTTGTACTGAGTTATCAGGAAGGGCACAGGCAGGGTACTGTGACAGGGAGCATCGAGAGTGTGGCTGCCTTAGGTGGGTGGTTAGGGTCTGGCTTTCTGAGGAGGACATAGCTCCCTGGGTTGCAGCATAAAAGGGAGCTAGATGAAGAAGGGGTAGAAAGAGAGTGATCCCATCTGAGAGGCCAGTGGGGCGGGGGAGTAGGGAGGTGGGCATGAGATGGAGATATGTGCAAGGGCCAGATCAAGAAGTTGCCTTTAGCCCTGACTGGTTTGGCTCAGTGGATAGAACGTCGGCCTGCGAACTGAAGGGTCCCAGGTTCGATTCCGGTCAAGGGCAGGTGCCTTGGTTGTGTGCACATCCCCAGTGGGGAGTGTGCAGGAGGCAGCTAATTGATGTTTCTAACTCTCAATCCCTCTCCCTTCTTTTCTGTAAAAAATTAATAAAATATATTTTTTAAAAAAAAGGAAAAAAAGAGAAGGGCTTTTGTTGGCTATATAAGAGTTTAGGCTTTTTATTTATTTATTTATTTATTTATTTATTTATTTATTTATTTATTTTAAAATATATTTTACTGATTTTTTTACAGAGGAAGGGAGAGGGATAGAGAGTTAAAAACATCGATGAGAGAGAAACATTGATCAGCTGCCTCTTGCACAGCCCCTACTAGGGATGTGCCCGCAACCAAGGTACATGCCCTTGGACTGGAATCGAACCCGGGACCTTTCAGTCTGCAGGGCGACACTCTATCCACTGAGCCAAACCGGTTCCGGCAGGAAGAGTCTTTTTCAATGTCAACAGCTACTTAAGCCTGCTCTTGTCGTGTGAAAGCAGCTATAGGCAGTATGTAAATGAATGGGCATAGCTGTGTGCCAATAAAATTTTATATATGAAACCAGGCAGTAGGCCATGGTTTGCCACCCTCTGGTTTAGATTATTGCAGTAATCCTGGCGAAAGATGCAGTAATCCAAGCTTGAACCAGTGAGTGGGGAGAGATGCTATTTGCTGAGATGAAAAAGCACCCAGCAAAACAGGCCCAGAGGTGATGGACCCGGGGTTCAGTTTGGGATGTGGTAAGTTTGGGTAATTATTATTTTTTTTATTTTTAAAATATATTTTATTGATTTTTTTTTTTTTTCAGAGAGGAATAGAGAGTTTGAAACATCAATGTGAGAGAAACATCAATCAGTTGCCTCCTGCACACCTCCTACTGGGGATGTGTCCCCAACCAAGGAACATGCCCTTGATCGGAATCGAACCTGGGACCCTTGAGTCCGCAGGCTCTATCCACTGAGCCAAACCAGTTAGGGCTGGGTCATTATTGATCAATCCGAGATGCCAAAGCTGGCTGCAACATCCAGATCAATCCACTTAGTGTTTAAGTTTTATTCCTGATTATTGTTCTTTAGTTCTGCCGTATTTCCCCTTCCTCACTTCTGAGCTCCCTAGGAACATGTCTTAAAATCTTCCAGCACCTCATTTATAGTGTTGACTATGTAGTAGGTGCTCAAATGCTAGAGAATTAATTTTAAAATCCATGTGAGTCTTTTAGTATTTAAATACGGTGAGGATGAATGGGTTAAGATGACTTTGATCCCAGTCTAAAGTAAAATGCTTAAGTAACTATTGAAAGCACATTATATATTAAGTTAACATTTATCAAAGGATTATATTAACAGGAATATTCTCAGGGCTTTTTGTACTGCTTGTTTTAGAAAACCAGCATGTTTAATTCTAACCATACTACCATTATAAGGAGACTGTTCAGATGCATGCAGTTGTGTGTGTGTGTGTGTGTGTGTGTGTGTGTGTGTGTGTGTGTGTTCCTTCATGGAGAGAGAGACAGAATGAGACACACAGAGTTAGAGTGACACAGAGAATACTCACTATTTCACACCAGGAACAGCCAGGTGGCTCTATATTCTGGAACTTTTTGTCTTCTAATGAATTGCCTTCTCTTTTCTTAAAGCCCTCCATTTTATTTTAACATTTCCAGTCTTTTATATCTATATTGATTTTTTACAGAGAGGAAGAGAGAGTTAGAAACATCGATGAGAGAGAAACATGGATTAGCTGCCTCCTGTACACCCCCTACTAGGGATGTGCCCGCAACCAAGGTACATGCCCTTGACTGGAATCGAACCCAGGACCTTTCAGTCCGCAGGCCAACTCTCTGACCACTGAGCCAAACTGGTTTCGGCAACATTTCCAGGCCTTTTTTTTTTTTTTTTTTTTTTTTTTTTTTAATATTTTATTGATTTTGTACAGAGAGGAAGGGAGAGAGATATTTAGAAACATCGATGCAAGAGAGTCATCGATCAGCTGCCTCTTGCACACCCCCTACTGGGGATATGCCCGCAACCAAGGTATATGCCTTTGACCGGAATTGAACCTGGGACCTTTCCATCCCCAAGCCGACGCTCTATCCATTGAGCCAAACCAGCCTCGGCTACATTTCCAGTCTTGATGACATGAAAGGTTAACAGCTTTATAATGATTCCCCCCCTTTTTTGAGTGTATGTGTGGTAATTGACTAGTCTGTATAATCCAAGTGAATCAATGATAGCATGACTCGTTTATTTAATGTTATCCATATCTTCAGGCAGAGAGATATCTTATAAACACGGATTAGACCATCCTGAAAGCCCTCCTCGCCCTTGCTTTCTTACCCCCTTCTTGAGGCTTTGCTAACTCCCTTTCCTGTTTACCTGACTGTGTTACACTCCATCTACTCTTTTTTTTTTTTTTTGAACAAAAAATAATCTTTATATAAACTGTTAATAGATACCTAAATACAATATGGCTTTTAAAATGAAATCATGTGTCTATACTTGTATTTATAAAGATAAGTGTACTAATCAAAAGTTATACAACATTGACAGCTAATCCAAATGCAAACAAAGATATTCTGAATTCTGTTTCATTGAACATAAAAAACCACCAATCTTTTAGTTCTCTTCTTGTACATTATTCTGTATCCACATCTTCTGCATCTGATTGGATCCCTGGATTTTATTTCATTTTTCTGTGTGACATTCATTGGCTGCTGCTTTAGGAGTTGGACGTCTTTTGCGTGTCCATTGTTAATCCTTGGCACCGACACACTCCTCTCTCTGCAATTCCAGACTACAGCACCTATTTTTTTAAAACTTTATTGTTGACACTATTATAGATGTCCTCATTTCCCCCTTTGCCCACCTGCATATCCCTTCTTATTTTCTAGTCTCCATTTTCTCTTCCTTTTGCTTCATCTTCCATTTTTTTATTAAAAAATATTTTTATTGACTTCAGAGAGGAAGGGAGAGGAAGAGGGAGAGAGAGAGAAACATCAATAATGAGAGAGAATCATGGATCGGCTGCTTCCTGCATGCCCCACACTGGGGATCGAGCCCACAACCCGGGCATGTGCCTGACCAGGAATTGAACCATGACCTGGCTCAGAGGTTGATGCTCAACTACGGAACCACAGTGGCTGGACCAATTTACATTATTTCTAATTGGAAAAAACAATTCGGTTTTCAAACAGCCATCTGGAACGAAGTTCGAGAAATGAGGTTCCACTGTATTTACAAACGTCTGTTCTTGTGTCACCCTAGATTTCTGCTTAGCTTATTAAGACGTTTTCTATTAGTCTGTGTAACGTGGAAGATCACTTGTGTCTTTTTTTTTCCATTTCCAGTTGGGTGGCACCATCGGAGACATTGAAGGAATGCCATTTGTGGAAGCATTCAGACAATTTCAGTTTAAAGCCAAAAGAGAGAATTTCTGCAACATCCATGTTAGCCTGGTCCCACAGGTGAGCTTTCCAGATAAGTATAGAGAGCAACTTCTCTAAGTCTTCCTATGACATTCTGTTTATTCCGTATTTTATTTTATTTATTTATTTGTTAGTTTATTTATTTTTTAAATATATTTTATTGATTTTTGTACAGAGAGGAAGGGACAGAGATAGAGAGTTAGAAGCATTGATGAGAGAGAAACATCGATCAGCTGCCTCTTGCACACCTCCCACTGGGGATGTGCCCGCAACCAAGGTACATGCCCTTGACCGGAATCGAACCCGGGACCCTTCAGCCCCCAAGCCGACGCTCTATCCATTGAGCCAAACCGGTCTCGGCCGTATTTTATTTTATTTAAAAAAATATATATTTTATTGATTTTTACAGAGAGGAAAGGAGGGGAATAGAGAGTTAGAAACATCAATCAGCTGCCTCCTGCACACCCCCTACTGGGGATGTGCCCACAACCAAGGTACATGCCCTTGATCGGAATTGAACCTGGGACCTTTCAGTCTGCAGGGCGACGCTCTATCCACTGAGCCACACCGGTTTTGGCTTATCCCTTATTTTAGCTGGGGATCCATACGCTATCCAGGAGAGTGAAATGCCCAAGGTACTAACAGTGACCCATTTCTTTGCAGCCCAGTGCTACTGGAGAACAGAAAACCAAACCCACACAAAACAGTGTTCGTGCGCTGAGGGGCTTGGGCCTGTCTCCTGATCTGGTGAGTTACAGAGAGTAGGGAAATTTCTTGGCAATAGCACCTCCATTTCTTAATCTATAACATCATCCAAGTCCTTTCTAGCTCCCAAGTGCTTCCTATGACATTGGCCTTTTTGTATCTGGGGTCCAGAGAAGGGTATTTCCTCATCTCTAGGGTCACTGCACACATTTCTGGATTGGCCATCGGTTCTTCTCCAGGCTCTCCTTTGATTGGCCACACTGACACCTGGTCAAGTGCAATGTCCTGCCATTTTGTATGGTCCCTGCGTCCTTGAGAGTGAGGTGTGGGACCTTGGAGGTTTTCCCGTGACCCTACTAGGATGGCTATCACTGCTCTTATTTATAGTAGGTAATCCAGTTATTACCAGTAATCTAGATCAGGGGTCAGCAAGTAAGGGCCTGTAGGCCTGTTTCCTGGAAAGAAACTAAAAAAAATGTATTTTATTGATTTTTTTTTTTTTATAGAGAGAAGGGAGAGATAGAGTTAGAAACATCGATGAGAGAGAAACATCGATCAGCTGCCTCCTGAACACCTCCTGTTGGGATATGCCTGCAACCAAGGTACATGCCCTTGATCAGAATTGAACCTAGGGCCTTTCAGTCCGCAGGCCAGTGCTCTATCAACTGAGCCAAACCTGTTAGGGCATGGAAAGAAATTTTTAAGACTTTTAAAATTGTAAATAAAGTTTTATTGGAACACAATACCATCCATTGTTTACATTTGTCTATATCTACCTTTGCACCACATTAGCACAACTGAGTAGTCAGGACAGTGACTGCATGGCCTGCAAAACCTAAACTATTTACCATCTGGCCCTTTAGAGGAAAAGTTTGCCAACCCTGGGCTAGCTCTGTTCTTGTATTTAAAAAAAAAATTTATTATTTTTTACAGAGAGGAAGGGAGAGGGATAGAAACATCAATAAGAAAGAGACATCCGTCAGCTGCCTCCTGCACACCCCTTACTGGAATGTGCCTGCAACCAAGGTACATGCCCTTGACCGGAATCGAATCTGGGACCTTCCAGTCCGCAGGCTGATGCTCTATCCACTGAGTCAAACCGGTTTTGGCTGTTTTTGTATTTTTTATGTTTTTTAAAATATATATTTTTATTGATTTTAGAGAGGAAAGGAGAGAGAGAGAGAAACATCAATGATGAGAGGGAATCATTGATCAGCTGCTTTCTGCATACCCCACACTGAGGACTGAGCCCACAACCCGGTTATGTGCCCTGACCGGGAATTGAACCGTGACCTCCTGGTTCATAGGTTGATGCTCAACCACTGAGCCACACTGGCCGAGCTGTATTTTTAAAGGAGTAACATTGGTGAGCCTTGGCTCTCCTTATGAGAGACACATTCACATTTCGAGTTCTCACTGGTAGAGTTGTGTTGGGTTGGACTATACTCGCTTATATTAGTGCTCAGGCGAGTTTCTAAAAGGCCAGTGGAATGCCCAAAATGAACATGTACAGACCTAGCAAGTCTGTTGTAGCAAAAAGCAGTTTATCTGTGTCCTTCTGAAAATGAATGGCGGGGTGGCTAGCCGGTTCCTGCTTGCTGACCTGTGCATAACTGACTTTGACAGATCGTCTGCCGGAGCTCCAAGCCCATCGAAATGGCTGTGAAGGAAAAGATTTCCATGTTTTGTCATGTGAACCCTGAACAGGTTAGTGCTGCTCTTTAGATTTTATTGCCTCGCAGGTACTTCTGCTGATGCCAACGTTTTATGCCTCTTAAATCATCATATTACTTTTCACAGCATTTATGAAAACTCATATCCAGCCACGGCTCCCTGGCCTTTAAGTGAACAATCTTGAGACTCCTGATTCCTTAGATAGCGTGCATGTTTCTTTGCATAACTGCTCCTCAAGTTGTAGGTACAAAATCAGTTGGGCTTTTTAACTCGAAGTCAAATCTCTAGAGAGAGAACCACGCCTACTTATATCTCTTTTTAAAAATATATTTTATTGATTTTTTTTTTTACAGAGAGGAAGGGAGAGGAATAGAGAGTTAGAAACATTGATGAGAGAGAAACATTCATCAACTGCCTCCTGTGCAACCCCTACCAGGGATGTGCCTGCAACCAAGGTACATGCCCTTGACCGGAATCGAACCTGGGACCCTTGAGTCTGCAGGTTGACGCTCTATCCACTGAGCCAAACCGGTTAGGGCTGTTATCATCTCTTTCCCTTGTCTTTCTAGGACAGTGGTCGGCAAACTCTTTGGTCAGCAGAGCCAAATATCAACAGTAGAACAATTGAAATTTCTTTTGAGAGCCGGAAACTGACTTCTGCACATGGGCCAAGAAGTTCCAATCGCATTGTCCGTGCGCGGCCACACGTGGTATTTTGTGGAAGAGCCACACTCAAGGGGCCAAAGAGCCTCATATGGCTCGCGTGCCACAGTTTGCCGACCACTGGTCTAGGCCACTCACTGCTTTCACTTATATTTCTCCTTGTACTTGCTACAGCTTAACTCTCCGAAAAGCACACATCATGTTGACATTCATCCTATCACTTCTGATTACATCAGTGGCCTCAGTTCAGTTTATTGCTACAGAAGCTGTACCAGGGTTTGGGTTTAGGTCCTCTGTCCTGCCAGACTTCCCACTCAGGTATCTGAGAGTTAGCTTTTCTTTTTACTTTCATTTTCTTTTCTTTTCTTTCTTTCTTTCTTTCTTTCTTTCTTTCTTTCTTTCTTTCTTTCTTTCTTTCTTTCTTTCTTTTTTTTTTAAAGAAAGGTGTCACTTTATAATTTTTTATTGATATTTTACAGAGAGGAAGGGAGAGAGATAGAGAGCTAGAAATGTTGATGAGAGAGAAACATCGACCAGTTGCCTCTTGCACACCCCCTACTGGAGATGCGCTCGCAACCAAGGTACATGCCTCTGACTGGAATCGAACCCGGGACCTTTCAGTCCGCAGACCGACGCTCTACCTCTGAGCCAAACTTTTCTTATCTGTCTCTTGTTTGCAGTAAGGCTCAGGCACAAGGGACCAGAGTGGGCTATAATTGAAAAAGTGATAATACCCAGTGCTCAGGAAGAGAGAGGTTTAGCAGAAACCTTTTGTTTGCTTCAGATAAGCTCTGAGTTCTCTGCAGCCTAAAAGCCACCTAATCAGATTTCTGTATCTCAGGGGGCAGTTTGATGAAGAACCCACTGTTCGATGCTTACTTAGGGTCAGTGCATAAGTGGGTACTGCTCTGAAAATGTGCTGGCAGGTTTGGTGGGGCCCCTGTGTTTTGAATGTCGTCAAGCCATTTTGATTTTGTTCAACTTGTTTTTTGTATTTTCCTATTGGTCAGTAGTATTTTGTGTGTGTGTTAAACACATATCACCTGGTTTCCTAAATAGAAGGAGAATGTAAGAACATCTAAGTGTGAGTTGTTTTTTTGAGCCAAATTGACAAGTGCCAGGAAGCAAGATCTCAAATATTCTGGAGGTCAGGTTTTTTGTGGTTTGTTTGTTTTCAATATGTTTTTATTAATTTCAGGTAGAGAAAATGAGGGGAAGAGAGAGAGAGAGAGAAACATTATTGATGAGAAAGAATCGTGGATCGGCTGCCTCCTGCATGCCCCACGCTGGGGATCAAGCCCACAACCGGGGCGTGTGTCCTGACTGGGAATTGAGCTGGACCGTGACCTACTCGTTCATAGGTAGATACTCAACCATTGAGCCATGCCGGCTGGGCTTAAGGAGGGAATGAAAGGAGGATTACATGGGGGTGGGAGAAAGCTAGGTGGGGATTGGACTACAGGACAGTTAATGTGGTCTTCACATGCTCCCTTGAGGGTGGTTATACCTCTGACGAGTCCAAAAAAGAGGATTATTCTGGCATTTCAAAGGTGTGTTAACCCAGAACGACGGTCAGAGCTTGCTTAAGGCACAGATAAACCTTTCAATAGGGAAATTAATGGGCCTGGAATGTTAGGAAGTTGTGATCAGATCACCCTGTGAGGTTACTTTCGGTCACAGCTTGTTAGATTTAGAGCCTCTTTTTTGTTCTCGGCTCTGAGAACAGATTTAGACCAAACTTTCGACCATATAGTCTGTTTTCTGTAACTGGAGATTCGGAAGAATGCTCTATCTCATCAGTGCACAGGCCAGTTTATTAGCTGTTTTCAGCACATCGTTCTTTTGATATGAGTCAATGCTCCCATTTCATAGTTGCTGGTGAATTTGCATTTAAAACTCTCCTCATTGGGGTTGCTGAGGACCGGATGGAGAATTGGAGGTATCTCTGTGGATGCGGCCCATTACTATGTATGACATTTGAAAAAATATCTCTCTGGCAAGGAGGATGAGTAAAATAGCAGTTGTGGTTGTCCAGAGATTTAGGTTGGTTTTTGTTTGTTTGTTTTATTTTGATTGATTTCAGAGAGGAAGGGAGAGGGAGAGAGAGATAGAAACATCAATGATGAGAGAGAATCATTGATCTTGCTTGTTTCCTGCACACCCCCTATTGGGATTGAGCTCACAACCCGGGCATGTGCCCTTGACCGGAATCGAACCCGGGACCTTTCAGTCCACAGGCCAATGCTTTACCCACTGAGCCAATGATCTAGGGCCAGAGATTTGGTTTTACACAGTAATTGTGACAAAGGCTCCTATCAGTGACATCTTGGCACTTCCAGTTGTGTGGTAAATGCACGAATGAGGCACACTAGTCTTAAGTGTCAGGTTGATGATGTTCAAACAGCTTAGGAATCCCTGATTGGAGAGCGACGGGTTTAGGAAGACTGCACACATACGGTTGGCAGAACATTTCTTGGCATTTTATTTAGGATGTGGCAGATCCTTAAGTGCCTGCCAGTAGCTTCTTGGATGTACTTGAGAGGGCGGTGAGAGCTCCTTAGATAAGTGTGAAAAACAGCCACACCACCTGGCAAAGGAGCCATTCTCTCCTAACAGGTGTAATTAATGTGACCGTGTTCGATGTGGCTTTGTAAATTTACCCACAAGAAGGGAGCGGACAAAAGCAACTATAGCAGCGGCAGCAGCAACAAATAAACCATCAACCAAATCACATACCCCCATTTAGGAGCTAAGGTGTATGTATTTATTGCTACTGCTTTAACCCAGACTTAGAACATGGTGCCTTGGGCCGTGGGTCTTGACATATAAAGAAGCATCCATGTTCCAACACCATTCTCTGACATCAGCTCGGGGTCCTGCAATTCAACCCTGACACTAAGTACCCCAGTGAGAGTCAGACTCCGTAGGTTTATGGGCTTGGTCCTTTCTAAGACTGCCCTCGCTTCAGACACCAGCCATAAGTTTCTGGTGTCCCCAAGCCACCCACAATTCTGCCTGGCTGACTACAGCCCTTTCAGGTTAGAGAATTCTCTAGAGTGACTCACAGAATCAGGAAAGTGAGCCACCCTCCCACGCAGCTGCGTATTCACCAACCAGGATGCTCTCCAGTCATCTTGATATTGGGAGTTCATTACTGGTCTCGTGATTGAATTCATTCTCTAGCCACCCTCCTCTTTCCCCCTGACATCCCCTCTCTGGAGTTCAGTGGCTGAAAGTTCCAGCCTTCTAATGACTTGGTTTGTTTTTCTGGTGTCTAACTTCCATCCTCAAGCCATCTAGGGACCACCCCGTGTCACATCATTAGCATAACAAAGATACCGCTATCACTCAGAAAATTCCAAAGGTTTTTGAAGTTCTTTCAGGAAATGAGAACAAAGACCATACACTGTGTGTGTGTGTGTGTGTGTGTGTGTGTGTGTGTGTATGTGTATATATATATATATATATATATATATAATTTTTAATGTATTTTATTGATTTTTACAGAGAGGAAGGGAGAGGGACAGAGAGCTAGAAACATCGATGAGAGAGGAACATCGACCAGCTGCTTCCTGCACAACCCCGACCGGGGATGTGCCCGCAACCAATGTATATGCCCTTGACGGGAATTGAACCTGGGACCTTTCAGTCCGCAGACCGACTCTCTAACCATTGAGCCAAACCGGTTTCTTCTACTTATATATTTTTTATTCTTCCACAGTATCCATGGTTCTAGGGGTAGAATAATGACTTCAAAGCATTCTGTAATTTGATCAAACGAACCTTGCGTTCATTCTGCCTCTGGTTTAGGTGGCTGGTGTAAATCTCTCTCTCTTTTCCATGTCCAGCTGGGCTAGAGAGCAGTCTGGTTCCTGAGTAGGGGCCGCTGGGGATTTAGAAAACAAAAGAAAAAGATAGACACAGAAATAGAAGGAAAAAGCTGGGGGCCAGGTGGGACCACTACCCTCTTCTGATGGAGAGACAGTGACCCAGAGCCGTGAAGCGTGTTTATTTTATACCCCAAAATACCAGGAAGTTTTCACCAAAAGTCCAGACAAGGGAGATTATTTGCATTCTTGCATTCCTGGTGCTTGACTGGATTTACATATCAAAACCCACTTCTGGACACCTGGGCAAAGATAAGAGTCAATGCTGAGCACACCTCTGCCTTTTTGGTAAGACGTGTAACCCAGACAGTTCAGCTGACAGTTATGAAGGAAGAATGCCATGTGCCTTCCCAGGCCCTCTCTACAGGCTGGGCTCTTGGTGTTTTTTTGTTTTTAAAAAAATATATATTTTATTGATTTTACACAGAGAGGAATTGAGAGGGATAGAGAGTTAGAAACGTTGATGAGAGAGATACATCGACCAGCTGCCTCTTGCACACCCCCCACCTGGGATGTGCCCGCAACCAAGGTACATGCCCTTGACCGGAATCGAACCTGGGACCTTTCAGTTTGCAGACCGATGCTCTATCCACTGAGCCAAACCGGTTTCGGCTGGGCTCTTGGTTTTCTTCCATGAGTATAAATGAACTGCCAGGCTCTTGAGTTCTGGCTTACTCTTGAACTCATTCTGGGGCATATTTGAGTCATTCCACTTACATACGGTGTTTTGTCACCCACCAGGTCATATGTATCCATGATGTTTCTTCCACATACCGAGTGCCTGTGCTTTTGGAGGAACAAGGCATCGTTAAATATTTTAAAGAGAGACTGAATTTGCCCATTGGTGACTCTGCAAATAATTTGCTTTTCAAGTGGAAAAATATGGCTGACAGGTATGTAAAAGGAATTACTAATGTAATCTTCAATAATTCTTGGGTTTGGGAGTAGGACTGGCATGTACCTTAAAAGGTACCTATGTTGCATTTGGCTTTTTGTATGTATGTGTATGTTTTGTATGGATGCGTTTAAAGCTCTAGCACATTGTTAGGATGTTTTACTGTATTCTTTGAAGATTTCTGGGACCTTTGAGCATTTTGATTTATTTATTAGTTTATTTCTTAGTTTCTGGATATTGTAAATAGTTTTAAATATCGTGAACTTTCTGTTTCTTGTTTTGCTTTGCTTGTTTTTTAAGATTTGGTTAATTTCTTAAAGAAAATCCTTTTTTTGCTTTTAAATATATTTTTATTGACTTCAGAGAGGAAGGGAGAGAGAGAGAGAGAGAGAGAGAGAGAGATAGAAACATCAATGATGAGAGAGAACCATTGATTGGCCGCCTCCTGGACTGGGGATCAAGCCTGCAACCTGGGCACGTGCCCTTGACCGGAATCAAACCTGGGACTAGCCGGGACCGGTTTGGCTCAATGGGTAGAGTGTCGGCTTGGGGACTGAAGGGGCCCGGGTTCGATTCCGGTCAAGGGCATGTACCTTGGTTGCGGGCATATCCCCAGTAGGGGGTGTGCAAGAGGCAGCTGATCGATGACTCTCTCATTGATGTTTCTAACTCTCTATCTCCCTTCCTCTCTGTACAAAAATCAATAAAATATATTAAAAAAAAAAAAACAACAAAAAAACAAACCTGGGACCTTTTAGTCTGCAGGCCAACACTTTATCCACTGAGCCAAACCAGCTAGGGCAAGAAAAATCCTTTTAAGTGGGAAATTTTGGTTATTTGTTATTGTTCCACTTCACATTTATTAACTATCAGCATCATTATTTTTTGTTGTTGTTAATCCTCACCCTAGGATATTTTTTCATTGATTTTTTTTTTTTCCCGAGAGTGGGGGGAGAGACACACAGACAGAAACAGCAATATGAAAGAGACACATGGATTGGTTGGCTCCCCCACACACCCCAACCTGACCCAGGGATTGAGTCTGCAATCGAGATACGTGTCCTTGTTCGGAATTGAACCCCAGAACCCTTCAATGCGAGGCTAATGCTCTATCCACTGAGCCAAGCTAGCTAGGGTGAGGTTTTGGGTTTGATCTCTGGTCAGGGCATGTGTAGGAGGTAACCAACCAGTTTCCCTCATATATATTTCTCTCTCCTGTCTCTTCCTCTCTCCAAAATAAAAACAGAGTTCTCATCACAAGAAAAAAAAAATTCTGATGATATGTGGTGATGGATGCTAACTAGACTTATTGTGGCGCTCATGTAGCAATATCTACATATATTGAATTATGTTGTACCTGGAAAGCTTATATGATACATGTCAATTACATCTAAATCGCCTTCCTAGAAAGTCACCTTTCCTGCCAGTTTTGACTTCTTTGCTTCCTGTGTATTTTTCTTCTCCTCGCCTTTTCCCCCATCATGTTGCTCTTGTACTCCTTGAAGATGTTAATCTGAATGAGGAATATTCCTCATCACGTAACATTTTTGTTAGAGGGTTTGCTTCCAAACCCTAAAATATCTTCAGCCCCAAGATGACATTTCCACCGACTTCGTATCAGACCAGACATTTCTCATGTTCTCCGGACTGATTTCCTGACAAAAGCAACAGTAAAGATTGTGTCTCTAATGGCAAAATGTGATTAAGCATCTTCTGTAGAATGGAATTTCCTCATAAAATTGATCGAAACGCCTTATAACATTTTAAATAGTTCTCTTAGCACCATTTTTTTTCAGGCATGCCATGAATAACCTGGCTTTTGTGGGCCAGCGGGGAATGTAGCACTTTAAAAAAAGTTTTTATCGAATTTATTGGGGTGACATTGGTTAATAAAATTATACAGGTGTAGCCATTTTTAATGTAGACGCTTTGAATGTGTTTTCTTATATAATGTCACCTTACAAAGTTGATACTGGAATGTTTCTTGTTGACACAGAATGCATTTTTTAGTACAATGTCTCCTTGTAAATGAATTCAAGGACAGCTCATGTTTATAAGATGGGGACAGCCTTTTTATATTTTTAATGCTTTTAACTTTTTCTCTGATTTCTATCTGTGCTTGCTTGTGTGAAGCAACAGTGGAAATTTCTTAGGATTTTGAAATGTGTCTGCCTGCAGGTTTGAGTTCTTTGGGGGAGGGGTGGAGCTTTGAATCAAGTACATCAAGTTCAAGGCTTGTCTACTTCTCAGTTTTGTTTTTTTAAAAAAATATTTTATTGATTTTTTACAGAGAGGAAGAGAGAGGGATAGAGTTAGAAACATCTATGAGAGAAAAACATCAATCAGCTGCCTCTTGCACGCCCCCCTACTGGGGATGTGCCCGAAATCAGGGTACATGCCCTTGACCAGAATTGAACCTGGGACCCTTCAGTCCCCAGGCCGATGCTCTATCCACTGAGCCAAACCGGTTTTGGCTGCTTCTCAGGTTTTGAAAAGCGCTGTGAGTGCTCTCTTTGGCGGTATTTATACTAAAAAAAAAATAAAATAAAATGGGAGTGATACAGTGACTATTAGCGTGGCCCCTGTACAAGGATGACATGCAAATTTGTGAAGCATTCCATTTTTTTTTCTGTTTTATTTTATTTTATTTTTTAAAATATATTTTATTGATTTATATTTTGCCCCCCTCTCTCCCTCCCATACATACCCTCCCTCCCCAGAGTTTTATGTCCATTGGTTGTACTTATATGCATGTACAAGCATTCCATTTTTTAAATATCACATAAAGGTTAGAGGAGGCAAACACATTATAGAAGATAGAAGAAGACAATAGCTACTGCAATTCAGAAACTAACTCTCAGCATAAATCAGGATATTCTGTGACAACAAAAACATAAACGGGAGAAGTAAAGGTCTGCATTTGCAAAGGGGGATGGAGATAAGGTACATGCATATGACCTTCAGCTTGTCCCCCCTCCCAGGTACGAAAGGCTGCAGAAAACGTGCTCCATCGCTCTGGTCGGCAAATACACCAAGCTGCGGGACTGCTATGCCTCTGTGTTTAAAGCTCTGGAACATTCCGCCTTGGCCATCAACCACAAGTTGAATCTGATGGTGAGTCCCGGCCCAGTCATCCGGATATTTCAATCATTCCCTCTGATAACAGCTTGTGCTTCAGAGAGGTAGGTTGTGCCTATGGCCAAATCACCCCGAACGCACTGATCTCATCACAGAGGTAGATTGTGTTGAAGGATCCTCAAGTCCAAGTTTCCAGATGCCAGCCAAGGGCCAGCCTTGTAAGCAGGCCTTTCCACTGATAGTGGATCATGCTTTTCTACCCAAAGTGTCCAGTCCAGTGTTTGCATAACAAGTAGTCGTTGAATAATTTTGTCATAGTGTTAGATCGTGCTTGTGTTTCTGAGGATGTATTTTTCTGAAATGTGCCTTTAATCTGTTGGATGTTTGTAGTACATAGACTCCATTGATCTGGAGCACACCACCGAAACCGAGGACCCTGTGAAATTCCACGAGGCGTGGCAGAAGCTATGCAAAGCCGAGTGAGTCCTGCGGACCCTTCACCCTAGTTGGGAGAATGACACTGTGCTTTTTTCTGGAAGTATTGGACTGACCCAGTTATTAAGTTTTGCATTTTGCATTTTGAAAGGTAGCCTGGCGTACTTGTGGTCATTATGGGTGCTTGTGAAACATTCACATCGCATTTACTTTTTATTTTTTATTGTCTGAAGTTTTACATGTCTCCTTTTTCCCCAACTGACCACCCCCCAGCCATTCCCACCCCGGCCAAGCCCCCACCATCCCAGTGTCTGTGTCCATTGGTTATGCTAATATGCATGCATACAAGTCTTTGCTCTCTAGCCACTCCCCTCCTCCCCACACCTCATCATTTGTCTCTAAATCTATTCTTTTTTTTGGTAAAATATATTTTATTGATTTTTTTACAGAGAGGAAGAGAGAGAGAGTTAGAAACATCAAGGAGAGAGAAACATCCATCAGCTGCCTCCTGCACACCCCCTACTGGGGATGTGCCCGCAACCAAAGTACATGCCCTTGACTGGAATCGAACCTGGGACTCTTGAGTTTGCAGGCCGACACTCTATCTACTGAGCCAAACCGTTCTTGTTCATCAGAGTATGTTGATCATTATATCCCACATATGAGTGAGATCATGTGATAGTTATCTTTCTCTGACTGTCACATTTACGTTTCAATGTGCCGTGTTAATGTTAGTGGCACTTGCAATGGAAGTGGTTTTGTTTGGGGAGAACTGGCATCCTGTATTAGAGAGAGCGTGCTGATTGTATGAAAGATGCAGAGATGGATCGCACACAAAGTTCAAGTGCAAGCATGACAACCCTTCTCTCTTGGTTATATTTTCTTTTCTGCGTCATTTTATTTGCATTTTTATTATAAAAGTAATTGACAGAACTCTTGGGGGTAGCATTATATTGTGAGGGTAGCACAACCTTCCTGGATTTTTTCTTGAAGTCTTGTCTTTTCAAATAAGGTTTTGTCTAGAAGGTATCTAAAGTGTCTTCTAACAGAAAATTTTATGTGCCCTACTTAATTAGCAATTGGAATCTTAGGCTGATTTTACCAGATTAACTCCTTCTGATTATGTAAGATCCTAACATTTTTTTTTTTTTTAAAAATATATATTTTATTGATTTTATACAGAGAGGAAGGGAGAGAGATAGAGAGTTAGAAACATCGATAAGAGAGAGTCATCGATCAGCTGCCTCTTGCACACCCCCTACTGGGGATATACCCGCAACTAAGGTACATGCCCTTGACTGGAATCGAACCCGGGTCCCTTCAGTCCCCAAGCCGACGCTCTATCCATTGAGCCAAACCGGTCCCGGCAAGATCCTAACATTTTTATAAAGTGTTTTAAAAAAAAAATCCTGACCTATTTTTATTTAGATAAATCAGTGGCTTTTTATTTATTTTAAAATATATTTTTATTGATTTTGGAGAGAAGAAGGGAGAGGGGGAGAGAAAGAGAGAAAGAATCATTGATTGGCTGCCTCTTGCACACCCCATACTGGGGATCGAGCCCGCAAGCTGGGCATGTGCCCTGACTTGGAATCGAACTGTGATCTTCTGAATCATAGATTGATGCTCAACCACTGAGCCATGCCAGCCGGGCTAAACCAGTGACATTTTAAATTGAACTGAGTTCTCAGTCACTATGCTTATGCCACAAAGACCTATCAGACAAATATATATTGGGGTCAGTTGTGAGAAATTGTTGCAACTTCTTTATACATTGGGAAGATTTCAAGAAAAAAGTTCAGGATGTCAGATCATGTAATCAATTCTGAATACAGACCTCAGTGTATGCTCTAATGTTGGATTGGGATGAGTAAGCAGGAAAGGCTGAAAATAAGAGTTTAAAAAATAAAAAGGATGTCAAATTCACTCCCATCTTGTGTGTTGATTGCAGTGGCGTTCTGGTGCCAGGAGGCTTCGGGATCAGAGGAACATTGGGCAAACTCCAGGCGATTTCTTGGGCAAGGACAAAGAAGATTCCTTTTCTTGGTAAGATTCATGTTTATGATCCTAACTATGACTTGATTTGATTTTTGACACCTAGTAGGGGTAACACTTAATAGAGTTTGTTAATGTGAAAGGTGTGAACTCATGTTTGAGTATTCAGGCACCAACTAGTCTGCTGCAGGGGACAGCAAACTGTATCTTCAAGACTATACCTTGCTTGTGGCCTGTTTTGTAAATAAAGTTTTATTAGCACATAGCCACACTAATCTGTATATAAAAGGCTGATATGCTAAATGTCCCTTCTGACTGTCTGACCGGTCGCTATGATGCGTACTGACCACCAGGGAGCAGATACTAAATACAGGAGCTGCGGTGACTCGCACTGGCCATTTACAGAGAAATGGCACCGTGGACCTGGCATCGACAAAGAAACACTCAGCTTCCCCTAAGTGGGGTACAGCCCCGCCACCACCCTGGAGTGATAGCCCACCAACTCACAGCCAACTCTGCTAAAATCCCATGGCACAAAATGTGGCCCACAGTCCAGCCCAGCCTGGAAACAGTTGCTGTGGGCGCTGGGTAATGACATCATGTAGCAATGCCCAGCTTCCCCTCTCTAACAACTAGTCTCCCTGGAGTTTCTTCAGCCCAGGAACACAACTTGCTTTATAGCCAGGTGCAAACATTTTACACTTTAACCAAATGTCTGTGAAGCATTTTCCCATGCCTCATCTTATTTGATCCTCACAGAAGTAGGTAGATAGGAGACTCAGTCAAATCTTATTTTCTTTTCATTAGCTGGAAAATGGAGATTTAGAAAGCTTAGAAACTTGATCTGACTGAAAAGAAGTAAGAAACGGTGGACCTTGAAAATGACTTCAAGTTTTCCCACTGCACAGGACATAGTCAAACACTGCTGTAGTTAAATATATTACTACAATTAAAAATATATTTATTCTCCATGCATGATCTACAATAGTACTCTGTTTCGTGTTGATATTTACTGCTGTGTTGCTGACAATGACCTGAAAGAGAAGTTGGGGTGCTTCACTGGGCTGGAAAAAGTTTAGTTAAATCAGAAGCAGGTCTAATTAAGCAAGTTTATTCTATATATATAAGAAGCTAAATTGACACGCATGTGCAGTACATATAAAGCTCTCGCTGGTGCCAATCGCACGTGTGTGTTTCTATCTGTCATTGTTGACCGTGAATTTGGTTGACACTTCTATTATAGAGAAAGGGTGAATAGCGGTATTAAAATATTTCTTCTAATTAATTTCCTTTCAATGTGCACGAATTTGTGCACCAGGCCACGAGTTTGATTATATATTGTCTATGGCACCTTTTGTGGCACAGTGTCAGGGTTTGAGGCCCTACAGCATTCAAAGCCCAAAATCTTCACTGTCCTGCCTTTTAGAGAGTTTGGAGAACTTATCATTGCTCTGGCTGGTAGCAAGAGACTGGGAGAAATTGCTATCTCTACCTGCCCTGACCTTTGATTCTCACCCAGATCCATCTTTTCACCACTTAAAGTGGAGAACCATTCAACAGAATGCCACAATGTTCTTTCTTACCAGAATGAAAAATGTTGAAGTTGAAATTGACTCCTTCTCGAAAACATAGTTCAGAAAGTCCATCCAACTTTGCGGGAACAGCTGTGTTAACATTTGGTACAGCTGGGTCTTTTTAATGCTTTTGTTCAAATTGCAAAGCATGGCTTCTGTGCCAGTGAGACCAGATGAAATGGATCCTTGCGGGGATAAAGGCAGCCCTGCATGTGGGGATTCAGGCAGGAGAGGGAGTGGAGAGAGGCTGTGTTTCACGCTGTGCTTGCATGTATTGGTGGGCTTGCAGACCGAGTGGACAGGCTTGGGTACCTTTTCCTATCAGCAGCTTATTCATTTTCCCTATTGCCTGCTCTTTGATTAGCTTCTTAGAAGCTCTCCACTGAGACCCATTTTCAAAAGGGAAGCCAGGAGTAGTTGCCTTGATACCTTGTTTTGTTTTACCCTTCTAAGCTCTTCTGGGCCATTGATTTCTTTTGAAGTAAGCTTGTTTGGTTTCTGTCTACACGTGGTTCGTGTTCTTCAGATAATTATCACGGTAGAGAACAGTTGGAAACTCTGTAGCTTTCTCTTTAACACAGGGCCTCTTTATGTCCTAGCCGTGTGGAACTTGCACGGTTCCCAACTTTGTTCTGATTTAGTATATTGGTTGCTCTCTCCTTCAAATCTCTTGTGTTCCTTGGCTATGTTTCTAAGAGCATTAGGCATTTGTTTAGTGGAGAGAGATTGGTGGGCTGCAGTGAATGTGGAGATTAGAGAAGGGCAACAGGCCTGGGACTACACAGGTCTCTTCCTTCTTTTTTATTTTATTTTTATTTTTAATTAATTTAATTAAATTAATTTATTTTCATTATTATTATTATTGATTATGGTATCACATAATTGTCCTCACCCCCCCATTCCCATCCCAAACCCCTCCCCAAATATGCCCCCACCTCCCTGTTGTCCATGGCCACTGGCTAGGCCCATATGCATGCACACAAGTCCTTTGGTTGATCTCTCCCCCTTACCCCCACTCTCCCCTACTTTCCCTCTGAGGTTTGAGAGTCTGATCGCTGCTTCTCTTTCTCTGGGTCTGTTTTTGTTTGTTGTTCATTATTTCCTCTAGATGTGTGAGATCATGTGATCCAAGAAATACCCTTGTAAGAACCGAAACTGAGACAAGCCATAATGGTTATGCTGAGAGGCAAATGAATCAGTCTGTAGTGAGTTCCTTTCTGGGCCAACAGTTCTTTTGAGTCCCAATTTCAATGTCAAACAGTTCCTTATGTGTACATGTCAGCCATGATATTTCAGATCTGGTTGGTTGACAAATGGTGGTGATGCAGGTCCGACCCTCTCTGGTTTGGTCCTGGGCATCCTTCAGCGACACGCAGCTGCTGTCTGCTGGTATGGCGAGGCGTTGTCAGCGTCTTCCATCTCTGAACTGTTTCTCTTCTGTCTTCATGGCTGGGGCACTTCTGTCTGTTCCTCTCTGTTACAAGAATCCAGATGGTCTCGGAGTTGTTTTCTGGGGTCTCTTCCTTCTTATTGAGCTCTCTGTTCAGTTTCATTTTGTGTCTTCCTGCCCTTATCTCAACCACACTCAAGCCCGGAATGTAGGTGCCTTCTTCCTACAGTGAGGTTATAGGAATGTTCTGGGTTCTCCTGCCCACTTGTTGGTTCCGCTGGCCAGCCTGAGGCTGCCCTCATAATGAAGGCTGGGAAGTTGAGAAGGGTGGTGGTGGAGACCCCCTCTTGATTGGGTGTTGTTAGATATTCTCTGAAGGATTCGGGTGCTCTGGGGTAGCCCTGTAGCCCACACATGTACCTTGATATAGAGATAAATTTGGAGGGAGGTAGATTTGACTTTTGGAACTTGCCCTGGCCTTTCCTGCTGTTTTCTGACCTTGAATTCTTTCCTCCTCAAATTCAAGTCCTCTAACCCCCTTCCCTGCCTCTGCCAGAGCACGGCTGTGAACCCAACAGCCAGAGTATTCCTGTCTCGGGGTCTGCATTCTAGATGGAGGAGGAAAACAGCAAACAAATGAATAGAAAATGGGAAGAAATACAAAATATGTTCATTTGCTTTATGTGCTTTTTAAAATAGGAGTTTGCCTTGGGATGCAGCTAGCAGTGATAGAGTTTGCAAGGAACTGCCTTAACTTGAAAGGTAAGTCTGAGATTTAGCTACTAACTTTCCATTTAAAATGATTCTTTTCACTTAAAATATTTTTTCAGCAATATCGGTTAATTATTGAATTCATTTCTTAACCTTCAGATGCCAATTCCACAGAATTTGAGCCAAGTGCCCCTGTTCCTGTGGTAAGTGGCTTGTTTATCTCTCTGCATTGGATTATTGTCATTTGGTTTCTGGCTTTTGCCTAGACTCGGAAGGGCTATTATTTTTTCATTACACTATCCGGACATTTACAATTATGTGAACCCTGGCTGTTTCTCAGTGGTTAGAGCATCGGCCAGAGGACTGAAGGGTTGCGTGTTCTATTCCTGGTCAAGGACATGCACCTGAGTTGCATGTTCGAACCCTGGCCCTGGTTGGGGTGAAAAAAGGAGGCAACCAATAGATGTCTCACCTCAATGCTTCTCTCTCTTTCCCTCTCCTCCCTTCACTCCACTCTTATTAAAAAAAATCAATGGAAAAAATATCCTCAGGTGAGGATTAAAACAATTATATGTGATAATATTATTACTGCTATTATTTTTTTATTAGGCTCTCAGGATATTTAAAATTATATATGATTTTATTTATTTATTTATTTATGTTTTTTACATACAACTGCTTTGTTTTCAAGAGTCCATTTTGCCAGCTATGTGTTGAAAAAAGACACAATCCTGGGCTGATTTATCTTTGCAGCAGTTCAAGCTTAATGTTTAGGAAAGGATTAAATTGACTGTGACAACAATTTATAACAGCTAATATAAATAAATGGGTTGGCCTGTCCCTAGACTCATCCCTGTCTGTCTAGTTTCCACACTGGTGGTCATCTGTCTTTCTAAAACAAAAGTGACAGCTGTTCTTCCGCTGCTCCTCATTTTCCACTAATTCCCTTTCCTGTAAAATATTCACTTCAAGGTTCTTGGCTGGGAGTGATGGCTATTATGCGCTGTCACCTGCTGCTTTGCTAATTCAACCCATGACATCCCCTCCTTTCCGCACTTGGGATTTAAGTTTGGGCAATCTGAACCATTTTTTTTATGTAGCTTGAGATTCCCTATACCCAAGATGTTCCCCTCCCACAATCTCCCTTCCTCTGCAATCTCAATGAAACCAATGAAGAATTTCATTTAAACACACACACACACACACACACACACACACACACACACACACACACACACACACAAAACATGCCCAGTTGTGGGATTCCCCTTTCACGTCCCGCGTGGTTCAGGGTTCTGGTTCAGGGTTTGGGTTCTGGAGAAGGCCGCACACAAATGAAAAGAGAGTAGAAAATGTGTTAATTTGGCGATATTGGGGGCCAGGCGGGAGCCCACCTCTAGTGGGAGGACTACCCACTGCTCTGGCCTTGCTATCCCTTTTCTTGAGGCTATGGGATACACCCATAGCCCTTAGGCAGGAAATAACAGAAATTTACATAATACAAACAGAGGTGGAGGCTGCTTCAGCTCCCAATGCCTCAACTGGTGAGTGGTTAGAGAGAATTAAAGTTGTTGATCAGCCTCCCTGGCTTCCTGTCCACATCTATTAGTGAAACAGTGATTGGTTTCTGGCACCTGATGACCCACAACTTACTATTCCTTCTGTGAAGCCTTTCCTGGCCTCCTTTTTTCTCAGTTTCTGTGCTGTGGGGCAGGATGAACTTTTCCTCTACACTTTAAGTTTGTTCAGCTGGTCTAATAATTAAGTTGCATGAGACAGAGTAACAAGAGAAAAATAACGAAATTTAATTACATATGTATGTATGGGAACCCCACATATATGAGAGAGTAAGAATCCTGACATGTACGAGATTCAGAGACAGGGAAGGAAAATGAGATATATGTGGCATTCTGAGCTAAGGATGAAGTAAGGTACCTTATGGCTTTATTTAGCATAATGATGTCTGCATCTGCCTATGTTATAGCATCTATCAGTTCTTTGTTTCTTTTTATTGCTGAATAATATTCCATTATATAGACATACTACATTTTTAAAAATAAATCTTTATTGTTCAGATTATTACAAATGTGATCCTCTTCCCCCCCTCAATTGCTCCCCTTCACCAGGTTCCCACCCCACCCTCTGTCCTTTCCCCATCCCCCATTGTCCTTATCCATAGGTGCACAGTTTTTGTTCAGTCTCTTCCCGCACCCCCACTCCCCTTTTCCCTGAGAATCGTCAGTCCACTCCCCTTCCATACCTCTGATTCTATTATATTCACCAGTTAATATTGTTCATCAGATTTTTTAATTCCCTTGGTTTTTAGATTCACTTGTTGATAGCTACGTATTTGTTGATCATAATTTTTATCTTTATCTTCTTCCTCTTCCTAAATAACCCCCTTCAGCAATTCATATAATTCTGGTTTGGTGGTGATGAACTCCTTTAGCTTTTTTTTATTTGTGAAGTTCTTTATCTGTCCTTTGATTCTGAGTGATAGCTTTGCTGGGTATATTATTTTTGGCTGTAAGTTCTTGCTATTCATCACCTTGAATATTTCTTGCCATTCCCATCTGGCCTGCATGGTTTCTGTTGAGAAATCAGCTGACAATCTTATGGGTGCTCCTTTATAAGGTCACTACCTGCTTTTCTCTTGCTGCTTTTAATATTCTCTCTTTGTCTTTTGCTCTTTGAATTTTAATTATGATGTGTCTTGGTGTGGTCCTCTTTGGATTCCTTTTGTTTGGGGTTTTGCAGGTTTCCTGGACTTGTAAGTCTATTTCTTTCCCCAGGTGGAGGAAGTTTTCTGTCACTATTTCTTCTAGTATTCTTTCGGTATCTTGCTCTCTCTCTTCTTCTGGAATCCCCATAATTCTGATGTTGGTTCACTTGAAATTGTCCTAGAGGTTTCTTACACTATCTTCAACTTTCTGGATTCTCTTATCTTCTCCCTTCTGCAGAGGAGTGTCCTCTGGCTCTTTGTGTTCTAAATCTTTGTCTCGATTCTTGCGATTTTCCAGTCTGTTTTTAGGACTTTGTATAATATTTTTTATTTCAGACAATATTTTCTTCATTTCTAGTTGATCCCTTATTATTTCTAGTTGATCCCTTTTCATATCCTCATAGGTCTCATTTATTTTATCGGCCTTTTTTAGGATATTGTTGAATAACCTTATAACTGTAGTTTTGAACTCAATGTCCAATCTTTTCTTTTCCTCCATCTCCTTCCTTTGTCTCCTTCCTCTTGTCTGCATTTTAGTTGTTTCCCTGATTTGATGGAATAGCTTTGTGTGCTAGGTGTTCTGGTAGAGCCCAGTAGCACAGCCTTCCCAGTTACCTGCGGTGGACAGTCTTGGTGTAGCCCTTTGTGGGCTGTGTGTGCAATCTTATTGTTAAGCCTTGCTTATGGTTGGTATCACTGGGAAGCGTTGATCTCCAAGCCAATTGGCTGTGAGGATCAGCAGTGTCTCAGCTAGGAGGGCTTCTGTACTCCGGGGTCTCGGGGTGGTACAGACAATCTTTGGTTCCCTGTCAGTCTCACCTTAGAAAAGACCTGTTCTCGGAGAGTTTTGGAAGATTGGTTGCAGGCGTGCGCACCTCTTTGGTAAAGGCACAGACAAGCTTTGGATTCCTGCCAGTCCCTCCTTAGAGAAAGCCAGCTTTTGGGAGAGCTTCTGTGCTTAGCCACAGATGGGGCGGAGTCTCGGGTTGGTGCAGACAAACTTTGTTTTCCCTTTGGCTCCTCCCCAAGTCCCGCAGTAATGGCCTCTGGCTTCACACACCTCCAAGAGATCTCTGCCCGCTGCCTGACAGTCTGGCCTCTCCCTGTCTGGGGCCATCTATCAGAGCAATAGGATGATTCTTTTTTCCTCTTGAACAAGAAAGCCAGCGGCACGTTAGCTGTCTGCCCTCTCTGCGCTCCGGGAGTAAGCCAGCAGCGATCTCGGATCCGGCCCTTCCTCTCCACGCCGGGAGTAAGCCAGTGCCTTTTCGCGCACACAATTCTCCGTACCTTCACAGTTCCTGAGGTTCAGTGTGCCTTCTCTCTCCTTCCCAGATGGCAGAGCCTCCTCTCAGCTAGCCGTCCGGCGCTTCAGGGCAATGCCTCCCCTGTTTTTCAGTTCTAAATTCGAATTTGTGGTAGGCTGCATTCGGGTGTCTACCCTATGCCGCCATCTTGGTTTCTCCTAGACATAACTACATTTTATTAATAAATTCGTCCATTGATGGACACTTGGATTGTTTCCACTTTTTTACTATTATACTGCTATGAACATTGTGTACAAGTTGTTGGATGAACATATAGTTTCATTTTACATGGGTATATACACCTAGGAGTGGAATTATGGATCATATAGTGACTATATGTTTAACCTTTCACGTAATTGCCAGACTGTTTTCAAAATGACTGCGACATTTTACATTCCCACCAGCAGTGTATGAGGGCTTCAATTTCTCTGCATCCTTAACACTTGTCATTGTCTCTTTTTTTATTATAGCTATTCTAGTGGGCATTAAGTTGTATCTCATTGTAGCTTTGATTTGCTTTTCCTTGATGGTTTAGATTTTGAGCACCTTTTCATGTACTTACTGACCACTTGTATATCATCTTTGGAGAAATGTCTATCCAGACTCCTTGCCCATTTTTAAATTGGGTTATTTGTCTTTTTATTATTAAATTATAAGTGTTCTTTGCATGTTCTAGATACAAGTTTCTTATTAGACATATTAGAGGCCTCGTGCATGAAATTCATGCACAGGTGCGGTCCCTAGACCTGGCTGGTGATCGAAGTGCTAGTGTCTGGCGTGGAAGGGCAGGTTCCAGCTGACCTCTGGCCCTGGGTAGCACCTGGGCCGCTGGGCCTCGGTGTGCCCTGTCTGCCTGAGTCACAGTACCCGAGTCCCCATGTGGAGATGTGGTGAGCGCAGCCAGACGCCGTGGGCCAGGGTGCAGTGTGGGCCTCTGGGCTGCCTAGCAGCATTGCATGGAAGCCGGGTGGGCAGCGCGCTCTCTCCTGGCTGGCCTCACAGACCAGCTCCTGTGCAAACCCATGGGGGCCTGATTGGCCCCTGTGATTCCAGGCACTGTGGCCTGGCTCACCTGGAAGAGGCTGTGTGGATGCAGGACGGGCTCCTCACAGGCACCTGAGTGCAGGGGCTTCCCTGGTGCACAAGCCTGGTATTCTGGGGAAGGGTAGCAGGG